AAACTTTCATTAGTCCCTAGCCTTATCTTATAGTTAGGAAAGCCTTATGCCTATCCCATGCATGCTTAAACTCCTTTACTGTGTTAACCTCTACCACTTCAGCTGGAAGGCTATTCCATGCATCCACTACCCTCTCAGTAAAGTAATACTTCCTGATATTATTTTTAAACCTTTGTCCCTCTAATTTAAGACTATGTCTCTTGTTGTGGTAGTTTTTCTTCTTTTAAATATAGTCTCCTCCTTTACTGTGTTGATTCCCTTTATGTATTTAAATGTTTCTATCATATCCCCCCTGTCTCGTCTTTCCTCCAAGCTATACATGTTAAGATCCTTTAACCTTTCCTGGTAAGTTTTATCCCGCAATCCATGAACCAGTTTAGTAGCCCTTCTCTGAACCCTCTCTAAGGTATCAATATCCTTCTGAAGATACGGTCTCCAGTACTGTGTACAATACTCCAAGTGAGGTCTCACCAGTGTTCTGTACAATGGCATGAGCACTTCCCTCTTTCTACTGCTAATACCTCTCCCTATACAACCAAGCATTCTGCTAGCATTTCCTGCTGCTCTATTACATTGTCTGCCTACCTTTAAGTCATCAGAAATAATCACCCCTAAATCCCTTTCCTCATATGTTGAGGTTAGGACTCTATCAAATATTCTGTACTCTGCCCTTGGGTTTTTACGTCCAAGATGCATTATCTTGCACTTATCCACATTAAATGTCAGTTGCCACAATTCTGACCATTTTTCTAGTTTACCTAAATCATTTGTCATTTGGCTTATCCCTCCTGGAACATCAACCCTGTTACATATCTTAGTATCATCAGCAAAAGACATACCTTACCATCAAGACCTTCTGCAATATCACTAATAAAAATATTAAAGAGAATGGGTCCAAGTACAGATCCCTGAGGTACCCCACTGGTGACAAGTCCAAGCTTCGAATATATTCCATTAACTACAACCCTCTGTTGCCTGTCACTCAGCCACTGTCTTACCCATTCAACAATATTGGAATCCAAACTTAAAGTGCAGTTTATTGATAAGTCTTCTATGTGCAACAGTGTCAAAAGCCTTACTGAAATCTAGGTAAACAATGTCTACTGCACCACCCTGATCTATAATTTTAGTTACCCAATCAAAAAAATCAATAAGATTAGTTTGGCATGATCTCCCTGAAGTAAACCCATGTTGTCTCTGATCTTGAAATCCATGTGTTTTTAGATGTTCAACAATCCTATCCTTAACATGGTTTCCATCACTTTCCCCACTACTGAAGTAAGGCTTACTGGCCTATAGTTGCCCGACTCCTCCCTATTACCTTTCTTGCAAATGGGCACAACATTCGCTAACTTCCAATCTTCTGGGACTACTCCTGTTAACAATGATTGGTTAAATAAATCTGTTAATGGTTTTGCTAGTACACCACTAAGCTCTTTTAATAGCTTTGGGTGTATTCCATCAGGTCCCATTGACTTATTTGTCTTTACTTTTGACAGTTGAAATAGAACCTCTTCCTCTGTAAACTCACGTGTAATAAATGACTCCATTTATCTTTTCTCTTAACTGAGGCCCCTTTCCTTCATTTTCATCTGTAAATACAGAACAAAAATATTCATTGAGGCAGTCAGCTAGACCTTTATCCTCTTCTATATACCTTCCTTCTTTTGTTTTTAATCAAACTAATCCTTGTTTTACTTTTCTTT